CCCCCCCCCCCCCCCCCCCCGGCCAGATATTTTACCTGGTTTGTGCCCCTCCTGCACACACTGGTGACACAATTGATAACTGAATTGTGACTAGTCTCTACATAGCTATTCTGAAATAAAGGCAATTAGTTAATTATGCCTGGGCTACCTCCCTGCACACAATGAGTTGGCCAGATATAACAAAGGGGGCAATCAACCAACAAGTGGGTCTGTGAACCATCAGTGGTCTATGGAATGTCTCTCCCCAAGTAAGAGAAGCATTGTATAAGTGCAGCCCCTTCCTAGAACTATTTTCTAAGTACATTAACTAACATAAGGAAGAGAGGGGGGATTATACAGTCAATAAGATTCTCTTTACAAGTTGTGGTAGTTCATCGACAAAATTGCTGATTAGAATATGCAGAGATGTTTTCCCCATTTCCTATACATAAATACACAAGGAGTATCTAACTGTCCTCATGCTGTGTCGGAAAGCCAGCTAAATGGCATGTGTACTGAAACTGTCCTTCAGTGATTGTCTGACTGGTAGTAGCATGGCTTTTCTGTAAGAGGAATGGGACTGCATCCAGCCAGCTCTGGGAAAGATGCTGAGAGCATACTGAAGAGCTGTCTCCAGTGAGGGCTTGCCCGTTTAACAACTCAGTTCACTGTTCCTATTGCACAGTGGACTCTTTGACGCAACAGAAAGAGCTGCCTTTTTTCCCCTTCCGTTTAAATCTGCCCGGCCAGTTTAAAGCTTGTGGATTCTTTCTTTCCCCTCAGGGATAGCTTATGTGAGGATTTTCTTTTTTTAACAGTTCATTCCATGAAACTGTTTCCCCTCCCCGTAGATTGTTTGCTGTCAGGAAACGCTGAAGCTGAACACAAGGCTTTCATTGCAGGTCAGTAGCTGAACTCCGGACCAAAGCATTTAACATTCAAGTGTTGCTTTAGCAAGGAGCAGAGTTTGCTAGGGAGAGACAAGTTAGCAAAGTTGTAGTATTTCAGCCAATGCAAAGCTGCCTTCTTAGTGGAAATGTTGATAGTTTAACTCTTCAGTGGTTTGCAAGATTAGTGTGTCATCTTTGTTATGGAGACAAATTGATGCCTGTTGTCACTTTATTCAGAGTAGTGGTGTATCTCGAAGGGTCAGTCTGGCTCTGTATAATTTAATTCCTGCATGGCTTCATTCACTTAACATTTTGTAAGACATACAAGGAATTTTCAGGACAGCAATATTCTTTTTCCTCTTATTTTGTAGGAATTATATTTTTGAGTTGTAATTTGTTCACTCATTTCTTTTTACTGGTAGCCTGTTACTACTTTGTTTAGGCACTCTGCAGGAAAGGCAGCTATATGCAATTGTGTTTTGTATTTCCTTTCAGATTTCTATCAAAAGACCTAAAATTAGTTGCATCAGAAAGGAAGGATGTAGGTGTATCATTATTGCCTCTTTCCAGCCTGTAATTGAGGTAAGTCGCTCGTTCTTTCCTTCTCTGAAATTAATCTTTAAAATGGACTCTTTTTTTTCTCTGTACTATATTTAGGGGCATCCTGCTTTTATTTGCTATTTATTAATTTTCTTCAGTTTGATTTAAAACAGAGGGTTGATTAAAGTCAGAATCGTAAAATTGTTTCATTAACTTCTATATATTTTATTTCGATGCTATCTACTACACTAATAAACAGGCATGCATGCTCATTCTGGGTAATCTTCTCTTACCCACCCCTCCAGGTATCACCATGATAAACAGTGAACGTGTGTGGACATTGTGCTGGGCTGGTCAATTCTCACACCAGCTTTGCAAAATGGAAAAGACTTTAGTTTTAGTATTCCGTATTCTTCTCCTGTGGTGACTTTCTGAGTATGTGTAAATTGAACTGGATTGTTTCAGAACACATTGAATGTATTTCCTACCAGGCATGTTTTTTTTTTAACAAATCACATCTTGAAGCTAAACAGGCAACCCACAAAATAATAATTTCCATCAGGCTATGGATTTTCATTCCCCTCAATATCCTCTGGGATTATGAAGAAATACATAACTTAACAAAATATCACATCAATATTGGTAGAACCCAGTTCATGTTACAAATGGTGCAGTGGCATTGGCTCTACACAATTGCTGAAAATGAAATTGTAGTAAAAGCTACAGTTTAATCTGAGTGATTATTATCTGGGAAATTACAGAATTATTAATTTAGTTAATTTTATTTTTCAAATGAGTTGAGCTCTGGTTAGCACTGTGGAAAGACTGGCTATCCTTCCAAAGTTAAGATTGTAGCAAGCTTCCTGTTTATTATGAATCAGATTTTGACACACACTCTGCAATTCCATCGTTGTTAAATCAATTTGTTGGGAACTGTACGTGGCACATCTCAGCCAGGAAATGTAGTTCAAGGTGAACACTCTGTTGTGAGGAAATGGGGCTGGAGGGAGGTTTCTGAACACTTTCAGTTTTGCAACTCCTTCTAGCCGTTTCTTTTGGCTCATCACAGCTCTGAAATGGTTTGCTTGAGGACTTCTAAACTTGTCTAGTCTGAGGAAATGATCTTTTTTGTGTTGCACAAGAGTTGAGGTGCAGTGAAGGTTACTGGAGGAATTACAAAGCTAGAGAGAGCTGTTTTTCAAGCACCTATCATAAAGGAGAAATAATCTACAATATTGCCACATGAGTAACTTAAGAAAAAGATAGTTAAGGCATAATAGAGTTTAGTCTCTTTTTCTATACCAGGCCAAATATTTGCAACCTTATCTATCAGATATTTCTGAGGGAGGAAAAACCCATATATTGGGGGGGAAGGATAGCTCAGTGGTTTGAGCATTGGCCTGCTAAACCCAGGGTGGTGAGTTCAATCCTTGCAGAGGCCATTTAGGGATTTGGGGCAAAAATTTGTCAGGGATGGTACTTGGTCCTGCTGTGAAGGCAGGGGACTGGACTCAATGACCTTTCAAGGTCCTTTCCAGTTCTAAGAGATAGGTAATTTCCATTAATTTAAAACTTAATTTATCCTCTAACTTGAAAGATTAGAAATGCCCAATGAAGGTTTGCAGCCAGTCCCACTGGCAAGTAACAGCATAGTCATTATTGCACTAACCAGTTTCCAGTGTGCTCTTGACTTGTAGTCAACTAGTGTATATAACATGCCAATTTCTGAAATGAATTTTCAACAGAATGGTTATGAATCTCCAGTATATTCTGCCACTGGGACTGTACTTCCTTTCATGTTACACCTGCTCTGGGGTGGGAAATGTGTCTCACCCATTTAAAGAGGAACTCGTGCTGGTTTGGGGGAGATGGAGAGAATAAATGACACCAGGGTTCAAAAGCCAGTGCAGAACTGCAGGGTCACTGGAGGGGAATTGGGTGTGGAATTTGCAATTCATTCTCCCAGGGGCCAGACCCTCCCTCTCCTACCCAATACTTCAGGAGAGATTCTGCAGAACTCGTCTCCTCCATGGGTTTTGCTGCAGGAGGGAATGGTTTGTCCCAAATGGTTGAGCTTATGATACCAGCTACATTTTTCCTATCTTGGTGGCACTGACTATAGTTGTAAAATGCATGAATAGGAACTAGCTAGATATGTTTATAACATTTTGATCGTCCTTATATACAACAAAACATTTACCTGCTTGCAGCATCTGCACATCTGCACTGTTGGATGAATGTCTATCTCCAGCTCAATGAATTCTTTCAGAGGTTTGTGCATTCTTTTGCATCTTGCACTTCCTCACATTAATAGCAGTAAAATTGGCACAACTGGCTGGTAATAAGTTTTCTTTCTGGAGTCATGAAGTACTTCAGCCTTACGGTACACCTGAATGTGCCTTACCCATTTAAAGGGGAACCGATCCTGAATTTGCTTTATGAAAGACATAATATGGGGGCTGCTACCCTTAGGGCAAAGGTGAATTTCCAGTCCAGGCCTGTAGTCAGAGCAAAAACATGTACTTTCCCTAGGAAAAAGTAGGTATTGCTCTTTGTTTTTATGAGCTTTGCAGACCCAGAATAGCTACAGTTTGAGTGAGCTAGATCTTCCATTGTGTGCATCATCAATAGAATTTGTTTACTGCAGGCCAGATTGAGGTATGTGAGGCAAAGCCGCAGCTGGACCAGAGCTGCTCACGTAGCTACAAAGACTTCTCCTCCCTTTTGGGGCATGAAGGATACCCTGCACACACAGTCCTCAAGTACACCAGGTTGTAATCCCTATTCCCATATCTCCACAGATTTTGGCTGCACTTCTCCACATAACACATGCTCTGCGCGCACCCCATTTGTGGCCCCGTGATGTCACAAGACCTCCTCATCAACTTCCTGGTGCTGGCCCGGGTGACCATCCAATATACCAGGAGGAGGATGCCGGATGAGGGGGTTCCCGGCAACTGTGGGGCCTACTTCTATTCCTCTCTTATGTCACGTATCCGGGCAGAGTTCCTCTGGGCGACGTCCACTGACTCCCTTGACAGTTTCGAGGAGCAGTGGGTGCTGTCTGGGGTTCTCTGCTCGGTGTCCCCATCTGGTTCCCTTGTTTTAAACCTGTGACCCGCACCCCTTGATTCTTTCGTCATTATTTGTCCCCCATAACTAGTTGGACATGGGTCCAGTTGTCCCTCCTGCCAGGCTGGTGGAGGGGCTTTAAAGCCCGCCCACCTTCCCATGTTTTTTCAGATAGGCCTCATTATAATGCCAATACCTAAATCATTGAGGAAGATATTGAACAGCACCTGTCCCAAAACAGACCCTGCGGAACCCCACTTGTTATGCCTTTCCAGCAGGATCACGAACCGTTAATAAGAACTCTCTGAGGGTTTTTCACTGGCTCATTAGTTCGAGCTAGGTAGGGTAATGAGGGCAAATGGAGTTGCAAAGAGGAGCTCCAAGCCCCAGGCAAGCTGGGAGCCACATCTGGCCCCCAGGCCTTAGGTTCCCCACCCCTGCTATTACCTCAGTCCCATCCCTCTTTTCTAATTAATTGTCTCCTGAACTCTTTTGATGCCAAGGTCCAGTGGCTTCTTCCTTAGGCTGAGGGGGTTTTTAAAATATGGGCGGACTTGCGCCTACCCATCCCTGGCAAATCAAAGGCACAATGACTCACCTCTCCAGCAGAACCTTCCATGACTCATTGCCAGGTTTGCTCCAGCAACTCAGCTGCACTAATGCGTCCCTCAAGAGAGCCTGCAGAGACTCAACCCTCACCTGTTCATAGGCGGAGCCCTAGTCAGATGACTGCAGGGCACAGGTATTTCACTCTCACCAGCCCTCCGGATGCCTTGTCATGTTACAGAACTTCCATCCTGTCCCAGCCTTGTTACAGCCTTGTCTGTGCTCTGTTCTGACCCTGCTCCAGCTCTGTTCCTGATTGCTCTAAGCCTGCACCTGCCTCTTGATCCCCAGATCCTTGCACTGACTCCAGCCCAGTTTCAACCTCAGTCTGCTTCTGGACTCTGATCCTGATTCGACCTACCTCTGGACTGTGATCCAGAGCCTGTCCCCAGTCTCCTCAGCTCAGTTCCAATTCTGTGCCTGGCTTGGAAAACGTTCCAGCCATCAGAACTAGCTGTGTGGAGCCCAGGGCCCAACAGATGGGTATTTCTCAGTATGAGCCAGGCTTAGGCCATGTCAAGTCCCCCTGGAGCCAGTAGGACTATGCACAGAGTAAACAGCTACTGAATGTCGATAAGAATCCTAAATTCTAGTTATGCA